TTCTTTAATCCCTTTGCCTTGTTGCCAAAGATATATGATGTGTTGGATTAGGATTCGTTCCTTGTGAAAGGTTATCATGTCTACTCCTAGTATCTTGGCAATAATACTATCGAGAATAGTAAAGTCAGGCCTTCATTTTATTCATATAGAAGAAAAAGAAAAAAAATGGTAGGTATATGCTATAGCAAAACTCATCCACATATTTCATACTCGGTCTTTACTAATAATGTATTACTTAGGATTATGATCCTCTCGTGGATTCGGGAAACAAGGGCAAACAGTTTAATATTGAGTTTCTTGTTATCCCTATCCAAGAAGAATACTAATTCCGGGGTAAAAATGTGGTGATCACGTAATTATGATGTAACTCGACCGTGACTGCTCAGTCACAGTCTCGAAGTTTGAGACTTTTTTTATGTCTTTAAGCAAAAAATTAATAAAGTAATGTGAACTACTGCGTCATATATTCGAAATGTTTGGTTTACCCGCATCAGGCTTTATCGCAGAGCACTTATATGCAGTGTTGTACATGGGACAGTTGGGACAAAGGTTGGGACAAAAGTTGGGACAGTTGGGACATAGTAAAACTTGGACAGGACATGCTTTGGACATAGTAAATTGGGACGGGACAAATTCGAAAATCCTTTGGACATTCAAAATGTACAACACTGCTTATATGTCTATTTTCTATGTATACGCATTTGAAAAATACATGAGTTATCACGTTATGAGTAATATAAAATTGCGGATCTCGAATACTAACTAAAATCCGAAGCGATCCGATATCACTCGTCTCAAATGATCGCCTACCGAGATGCGCGTATTGCAAGTATCGGATTAATCGATTCCCATGCTTTTTTCTCTATTATTACGATGCACTCTTTAGGAAAGCGAAAAAGTGAAGCTTCACTTCTCAGAGATGCGTGCCAGTAGTCACAACTCAGGAGTCATAGTTAAGAAGTCGTCGTCATGACAAAAAAATTAAGTGGACATGTATATTAATTTATTATCGTTATTACATTATTACTTTGGCGTAGAGAAAGAGCAATTTTACTATTCTTGGCTAGTCCGAATATGATTGTGTGATTGATTAAAAATTTGATTTATCATACCAATAAATATCGTTATTATTTTTTATCATGCTCTATAAACATGTCGTTAAACCTCTTCAAGTTCGTTCACGACAAGTGTATTTGTTCTTTTTTTTCATAATAATTTTTTTATAACCGATTTCACATACAGTATGTATATATTGATAATATACAGTGCAAGAAAAGAAACTTCGCAAACTTGCAAAAAAGTGTGGAACGGGTGGGTAGCAGTTAAATTATTTTCCTGCGTGTTGACGTTATAAATCATTAATTGATATTTTGTGTTAGTTCCTGAGAATCTCCCTACAATTCTTCAAAATCCAGATATTGTCACTCTTATTCTCAAATATTTAAAAGGCAAAGATACCGATGACGAAATGCCCGCACTTTTGTTCGATTGGAATCAGGCCGGCTTCAATGACACCAACGTTCCAAATTGCCGTAACGGTGTTGCAGGACAGACCCAAGGGGCTATAGTCGCAAACCTCCTTGCAAACGGAGCAACCGATTTTATGAATCTGAACATACTATTCGTTTTTCAAAATGGTCAAGCAATTGGAACTTGGCACAAGAATGTCGCTGTGAATTTGCCTTGGTATGAGGTAATTCTATATCTTATATACATTGACATCAGTTTAATCCATTATCCTTTCTTAAAGGGTGAAACATCAAGCTGGTGTTCCAGATATCTGTAACAACCTCTTAAGACTTAATAAGATTACGGCCCACACAACCAATGTAGATATCGAGGATTTTTCAGGTATCTTGGAATAAAGGAAAAAGACGAGTAAGTACTTTTTCTAAATCATATGGTTAATTTACCCCTTCAAATTGATACGAAGAATTACCTTCAAATTGACCGAAGGAATATTCGGTCTCCTTCATTGAGTTGTGTCAAAAATTGAATGAAAATTTTGCAATCAATCCCTAGGTTTTACGCTTCGAGAACATTTTGTGATCCGAATATACAGTATATGAAAAAAAAAAATAAATCGTGCTGTTAACATTTTCGCGTAAATGCACTTACTTGGGCTCAAACTCGATATCTAGGGTGCTTTGCGTATTGCTCGTCATCGCGATTCCCAATGTTGCTTGCCTTTAAATCGGCATCACGACCTACCATAATGCGCATGCAAATAATTGCCTTACAGCACAGTTGATTATACTGTATGTATTCTATCGGGTACAGAAAGTTTCTCATCGAAGATGATATACTTATGATATAGTCGTGATTGTATTTTTTTTTAGTTTTCGAATAAAGTTTGTCTGCGTTTAAGGGTTGTGTTTTTTAACTCGTGTATGCATGAATGTGGGTGTATAAATACATATATACATACTTTATGTGTAACTCATAAATCGAAATTTGAATAGATCTATGCTTTACATAAAAATACGGAAGACAGGGTATGGAAGAGAACACCGAACTCAAGAGCAGAATCGATGAGTTGGAGAAAAATAGGACAGATGCTGTTGCCGAGAACGTTGAACTTGGAGTTAGAGTTGTAAAATTAGAACAGGATATAGATGAACTTAAAAAAGAATTGGAATCTAAGAAAAATCGTAAATTTCAGGAAAAATGTATTCTAATAGCCCAGATACTTCTTAACGAGGAACCTATGGTTGAATATCGACCATCTTTTATGGAAGGATTAGAACTTGATGCCTTCTTCCGAAGTAATAGAATTGCATTAGAGGTTCAAGGAGCTCAACATCGGCTTCATAACACCAGCTGGTATAAAGATGTTAAAAAACTCGAGGATATTGTTAACCGTGATCGAAAAAAAAGAACCCTGTGTCAACTTAACGGGATTTATCTTCTTGAGGTATGGTATGATGAGAATCCAGAAGTCACTATTCCTAAGAAGATATATAAATTTAGGGAGTTTATTGATAGAAAAATCTTCAATCTTGATTAACCTTATATAATGACTTAGCATTATGTGCAATATACATGTATATATAGCCATTCATAAATACTTGTTCAGTATCCTGCCCTATATGCAATAAAGATCATAAAAAAGAAAATATAAGAGATAATATAGAAGGTAGATGGGGTAGTGGTGATTATGTCAATACAAAAACTTATCATTTGCAATGCCATGAGGTCTATCAAAATTCAATCCAAATAGTAACGGTGAATACAAAACCATGAGTAAAAGCCTATATCAAATAGCACAAATATCTCAGCCTAAATCCTGAAGAAATTTGGATG